GGTGCAAGGCAAAAAATATTAAAAAGAAAAAACTGTGATACCTAAACCAACATTTTAAAAAATTATTATTTCTTTGAAGGGGGTAAAACAAAACATTTTTTTTGTTGTTCTGAAAAATGGAGGAAAGCAGTGCTGAGTTTTGGTTTCGTGGTGACTTCCTTACTAGTGCTTTCTTCCTCTATCAGTTTCTTTAAATCTGCCTCTTCTAATACATGTTTTGTAGATAATGTCTTGAACTATTTTTTCTGATTTTATTTTATAGCTACACATAATATTATGTAATCACTTCAATTTCCCTTTGCAGCTAATCTAGTTGTGCTCCTAGTCTGCTTTGTTGCTGTCTCTGGGGAAGAAAAAAAGCAGCTTTATGTAAAGAACTTCCTAGTTCTAATGCAGGCTAGTCCTACTGATACTTACAGTTTTTAGGCAAATCAGTTTTCTTCCCCTCCATATATAAAAACATATTGAAATATGTATATGGTTCAGAAGTGATTTTGTGAATGTCATGAAGTCTGGCAGTTATCCTCTCTGTAGGGATATAGACCTGTGTGAAGTGAATTCAAGATGCTTGCAGAAGACTATTAATGACTAAGCGTGGCAAAGGTACTGGTAAATGAGGCAGAACTTATGGGTGCAAATAGGAAGAAGCATCGGAAGAAACTTACCTGGAACAGGGTCTTCTTAGTAGTCTCTCCCCATGCGTGTTACCAGCAGATGCTGGTGCTTTTGGTTTGGGAGGTTTGGATGTGGCCCTTAGGTTTAGTACACTTTCTGATCTCTCCAGGCATGGGAAAAAAAAGTTTGGATTGTTTTGTTGGATTTGTTTGTCATTTGCAACGCAGTTCTGTGCAGTAGTAGCCACTGTTCTTTTGTTCCTGTTTATTGTGTTAAAAACAAATTCCAAATTAAAGATTAAATAGTTGGTGGCAAATGAATGTCAGATAAGGCATTTTATGTATGTGTGTATGCATGCACACACACGCATTTAATAGAAATCTGTTGGAAGATTTAGAGAGTACTGTATATTTCAGGTATCTCTCCTGGTGTTTTTTCAGGGTCCCAGTAAAATGTTAGTGTCCTGTTAAACGGCAGACACTGGCTATTGTGTGAGCCCGTTTCTGTGCTGCTGTGACTTCATCTTTTATGTCAAGTGAGCGTTAGCTCTGAACAGAGTGAATTGGCTGGTTTTATTATGTATAAGGCAATATTTCTCCACTCTCAGAGTTCTGTATACGCTTCTGAGGGAAAGCTTGTAAATGTCCATAGTTTTGGTTTTGTGCCATTTTTATGGATGGAAACTTGTACATAAGTTTTGTCTAGCCTGGAACGTTCTCTTAGGACTTTTGAACTAATGCTGATGAAAGAAAGTGATAGTTGAATATTTGAAAAGATCATTAAGCTTATGAAAACACCAGATTTTATCATTGTAACTAGAATAACTAGCACTTTGACAAAGCTGCCTTTTACTTAAGATTCATCATTTGTCTGTTTAGTTGAAAGTGTTAAATGTTTTTGCTGTAACTCTCTTAGGTCTAGCCCAGCGGACAAGGTACAGCAAGGGATTCTTGCAAAGGTCTTTGGGATGCCAAAGAAGTTCTAGTTTATTATTAACTAGACATGCACTATGTAATGAAACATAAATTTTTTTCTGACATAAAATTAAATAATGAAAAACTTTTGGAAAAATTAAACCAGTGCAGAGATTATACTTGGTCAACATATTTCATAACTAGGCTACTGTCATTTTGATCTCCTGTTAAGGGCTGTAGTATGTACTGGAACTGAAACTTAAATATTTGTGTGCATGTGTATTTGCTGTCTCCCACATGGATGCAATTCTAACATGAGAAAGTTATGCTATTGTCATTTGGGATGTGAAACCTGGGGTGGAGAATGGTAGGTTTTTGCTGAGCTTGCGTAAATCCATGTTCACATCCCAGACTCTCTTGACTAAAGTTGGTAAAATATGTACATCAAACCGCTGTCAATGCTTGGCTTCCTTAAATGTTTGTTTTTGAAGAGGTATAAAGATTTAGGTTATTTTTGCCCCAGCTTTTCAAAACTGCCTCCTCCCCAACCAAGTTATGGTAGCTGATCAGGTGAGCATTTGTAGTCACTAATTTGAACAGATTTTCTCATTTCATCCTTAGTAGTGATTTAAATGAACCTGTTCTGTTTTAAACCAAAGTGGAACAGAAACAGACTTACGATCAGGCATGGTGTCTCAGCAACTGTAGTGTTTTAAGCTGCTACTGCTCTTTTCTAGTGCATGTGGAATTACGTCCATATTTCTTTTTGTGACATAGATTACTTTATATTAGGCACCTTTCAAAAAAACAAAACAAAACAAACAAACAGAAATTGTACTTATGAAAGAAATATAACTGATTTTGAGACCTTCAGGGCATGTTTTAAGTTTTAATAATACAGGTAAGGCAGGTTGCAATGAGGTCCTTGGGCTGGAGGCTGTATTCTGCAGGTAACTGGAGCGAGTGTCAGTTTAAAATAGCTGATCTAAGAACAAGATGTGCAAGCGAATGTTTTCCATGCAGGTCAGTGATATCCTCGCAAACGATGCATCATTTGTTGAAGTCAGTTTAGGGCTAATGGCGCTTATTAGCTTGTGCTTGATGCTGGAGAAATATAATTATATTGATTCTACAGCCGGTGCAGATCTGTAGCAATATACCTCTGCTTGAGATAATAATTCCTCTCAGAAAGTGAGATAACTGTGAGGAGAGCTCTGGCCTAGAATTTGAAGTATTGTCTGGATAGTCTCAGCCTTCTTTTTTATTCCTATTACCCCATTATGACTCTATATTATGGAACTTTGTACTTTTTTACTTTTACTCCGGTTTGGCCAAGCTTCTGAAAATTTTCTATGGGATTTAGTACTTAGATTGCTTTCCAAAGTAATAATGAGAAAAATAATTTCAGCAACATGTTTCATAAATGGAGCCGAAGCGAATTTTCAAGGGAATTTTTCTGACCAATATTACGTTTTTATTTGGTTTTTAATAGACATTAATATCCCTTTACCGAAGTGAACCAAAACCTTAGATTGTGTTTGAAAATTCAGAGAACAGAATTGTGCAGCTTTTTTTAATTAAAGTGTAAAAAACATTATTATTATTATTATTATTACTACTACTACTACTACTTCTACTTCTACTATTATCTGTCTTTGTTTTCCTGCCATGCCAGAAAATTCTATAAAACCTGTTTCCTGGCATAAAATTGAATGGTGTTAGTTTCCAAGGCTTGTCCTCATGTGGCGTTTGAGTGTGGGGATTTTTTTGCTTTCAAGGGTCTCTAGCCATTTGGATCAATTTCAGTTTTACCTATAGAATTTTGAAGCTTGTGCTATAGTGTACAGTGTGCGCACCTACACATTGTTTTGAAACACTCCTATATAATCTTGACTTATCTCAATGACTTTTTATGTTGCTTTAGAAATGCAGGAAAACAATGTAAATTTGGAAATTGGTCAATATTGCACACAAAATAGAAACATTATTGTACTATATTAAATATTTGTTCAGTTGAAGCATTGAAATGTAATTTCTTTTGTTGATAATTAAAACTGAATTAATTTAATTGTTACTAAAGTTAAATTTGACATAGGGGTGGATAGTCCTGACCATAATGATTGTAGTTGGCTTTTTTTTCTTCTTTTTTTCTTTAAAGTTTTGGCAGCCTCCATATACTGGTGCTATCTTTTGAACTCTGGAGTTCTTGTATCTCCAAGAAGTCTTATTTTTGCTATTGCTTGATACATTTTCTTTGTTGAGCTGATGAATACGTTTTTTAAACCTGATTACACTTTTTCTTCCCCTTCAAGTGATATACTCAAGAAACATAGATTTCCATCAAACTTTAATCAAGAGAATACTTGTAAATCTGGTGAATACCCTTGCTATTCTTAGTATGGTAAAATGGTTTAAAACTCCCACATTTAATTTCATTTATTTCATAACATTTCTGTGTGGCAGCAGTGGATTAGGCTACTTTACTTGTTTTCATGCCCTTTACCTCAATTTTTTCCGTTTTGTTTTTTAATGAAGAACTGAATCAAAACTACTAGGCAAATTAGAATAACCCTTTGAAAAATTGAATGAAAAATAATTCATATTAAATGGTATCTTTGCACAGTAAAAGTTTGCTTTTCTAACTGTTAAGATTTTGCCCCCACACCTCATTCTAGGTTGTTTTCCTGCTATTAATTTGATAGATGGCTTAGGTTTGGGGTTTTTTCCTTCCTATTAGTCTCTTTATTCAGATGAAGGCATAGCATAGGTCTACTTGTGGATTATGTTTGCTTATCAGTAGATATAAGTAGTATTGAGTACTTTGGGGTTTTTTGGGAAAAAGTATACAGTTACATTTTGAAAAAGGAAAGCTAAGGTTTACTGCTGTCTTTCAGTTGGTTACATTGCAGCCTTTAGTATTCAGTATTTTTTTTTCAACTAATGACAATTGCAAAAGTGAAACTTAAGAAGTTGCTATGATTACTGCTTCAGTGTTGTGTTTAGATTTTTCTTGTCATGTTGTAACATTAAGTTCATTTTATTGAATTCTGGTTATGTAGCCAGCTGAATTTTTCTCAAATACTGCATATACTAAAGGTGTTTGCACAAGTTGCATAGGATCAGGTTTTCTTTAAAGGAAAAAAATATCTCTGAGGAAAAAGTAGTGAGGAAAAAGGAACATGTCTGTCCTACAGGTAAACTTGTATTTTGCAGTTCTTTAATGGGAGAAACTACATCTAAGAAAGCTTTAACATTTTCTAACAACGTGTTTAGGTGTAGAATCTTGATTTATTAGCTCTGTAGATTTTTTTTTTAATGCACGATTTTTCCTATTTCATAGACTTTTGTTTATTCTATAAGCATGGTGATAATGGTTGGTTTAAAAAAAGGTAGTTTGTCAAAAAAGCAGATACACTCAGAAAGCAGCTAGACTAAATTTTAACTGGGTAAATCTTAACTTTTTTGAAACAGGAGATCAGCAAAATCTCGAAGCAGAAGTCCATATTCATCAAGGCACTCGAGGTCTCGTAGCAGACACAGGTTGTCTAGATCCAGAAGTCGTCATTCAAGTATTTCTCCTAGTACATTGACTCTGAAGAGTAGCCTGGCTGCTGAGCTGAACAAAAACAAAAAAGCAAGAGCTGCTGAGGCAGCCAAAGCCAGTGCAAAAGCTTCCAATACTTCAACACCAACTAAGGGAAACACTGACACTGCTGTAAGTGTGCCTCAAGTGAACAATGTAAAGGACCTGAAGAAAATAAAAACTGAGCATACACCTTCTCCAACAAGCAGTGCAAATTTGAAAAATGACAAGGCAAAAGCAAAGGTCTCACTTCCTGAAACAAAAGGGGAAAATAATCTAATTGCAGACAAAATTACTAAACAGAAACCTACAGCAGCAAAAGAGAATAAATTAACTGTTGTAAAACAGCCACCGGTCGCTGTAAAAGAGAAAAGCAAACCAAGTACACCAAGTGTAGTAACCAAGGAGAAGGACCGAATTGTTGCACTACCAACCTCCACACTGCCACCCTTGCCTTTGCCTCCCACGCTGCCTGAAGATAAAGAAACTGATAGGTGAGTTGTGACATGGATTTGATTTTTGGGGTTGTCTGTTCCTTTTTATTATTGTTGTTGTTGTTGTTGTTTTATTGGGGTTTTTTTAATTGTTATTATTATCATTTCCTTTGGAAAACAAATATAATCCTATTTGCTAGATCAGGCTGATGCATTAGGTAGTTTGTTCTTGCTCTTCAGTTGTTTAACATAGTTATTATTAGAGAACTGAAGGAATTTGATCTTAAAATAAAAATAATTTTTAAAAAGAGAAGGATTTAGCCTAGGAGGAATCTTTCAAAGGTACACTAAAGAGGTGATTTAAAATTGCTGGTACATAGTAGCTTTGGGACTAATGCAAGGATGCATGCAAGGATTCCAGATTTCAAGTTTGGTATGAACATGTACATACTTCTGGGGAAAAGTTGAAGTCAGTAGCAATATATGAAAATTCTTAAATTAGCTGGGGTTTGAGGTAAAGATTCTCCTTCTTTTGGAAGGCAATTGTTTTTATAGCTGTGCGTTATTTTAGTATAATTTATCTCAGAGATCAGTATTATTTTGAATATGTATAATGGAAGCGAGGTTCATGTCTTGTCATTTGTGTTAACTTTTGAAGCATAAAAATTGGTCTGAGTGAAGAAATTCATGTCTGTATTCCAAGTGTTGTCTGAGTTTAGACTACATTAAGTCTCTTGATAGCCCTAACAGAGAGTATGTGCTGTTATTTGTATTGGAAAATTATGCTGTTGAGCGGTAATTTACTAGTTTCCTTTTGGTTTTGGTGATGAAGTTGAGTTACTTTTGTTTTTTCTCATGGTGTTACATGCCTCTCACATATATATGAGAAATCAACTTCTCACAATAAGTAAAACAAAATTTCTTAGCGTTGACATAACTAATTCAAGTGTAATGTATCTTTGTAAAAAATCAAACTGTAAAAGAAAAATTCAAAACCTCATGAAATACTTTTATTTATATTCCATATCTGTGAAACTAGCCTGTCTTCTCTCGTTCTTTGAGAAGTGTGTAGTACTTTGATTAGTAAAAGTAGTTATAATTAGAGGTGTAAATGTTTCTGGTTTGTTTGCTAGTAATTTAATGCTGTGTTAAACATTGGGATGCACAGGAGGCCTTAGCAAATAAATACAATCTAATAAGGTATTAGACAGGTGATTTATTTTTTTTTAGTGGTAAAAGAGAAATCTTGTTTCTTGCCCTTCAGCACTCTAGCAAATGTCATTCCAGTGTTCAGAATCACATCTGTGTGGTGAATGTACAGTTGCATTTAAATTTATGACAAAGCCATCTTCTCTAGGTAAACAGGATTTCTGACACTGTTATTTGAGAGCAAGATTTATTGTTTTAACTAAAAACCAAGCTGCCTAGTTTAACTAAATATATGACTGGCTTTGCAGTGTTAATTGCGATAATATGAAATGAGATTTCATCTTGAAGCTGGCTAATAGTTTCTCATTATTAGTATTTTTTAATGTAATAGCTGTTTTAAGTATAGTTAAACTGCACAGAGGAGTTAAACTACAATTAAACGGCTCTATCAGCACTGGGCTCATTCTCCTTTCAAAAAAAACCCAGCCTACATTAGAAAGATTGACAAGTAATAGAATGTCATTTATGCTTTGTCTATAGCATGTTACAAACTTCAGGTCAGAATGGTTGTGCTTACAAGTCATGATAAAGCTTAAGTCATCAAAGAAAAATTATCAATGTTTTTTAAGGGGGGAGGAGGGCAAAGGTATTTACCTTGGGCTCAGAGTTACTGTGGGGAAATTGTGCCAACAAAGAAAGCTTGATGCTATGCAGAACTGGCTGGTTCCTAATGCTGTGTCAGTTGTGAAGTTCAGTAAGAATCTGATAAACCCACAAATAAACTACCTAAAGGAATAGCAGTGTTGCAAAACCACTGTGTAGGTTAGCTGAGGGGGAAAACTGTTCTGGGTGGTCAGTGACGTGTGATTTAACAGACATGAAAAAAAAGCCCACTCTTGGCTGCCTTTTTTCATGTATCATGCCTATTTCCATGTATCATTTTTAAAATCAGAACATCTCATACATTGTACTTTCACTAATATTGAAAGTTTGGGGGCAAAATTGTGAGAGAAATACAAATATATGAACTTCAAAATTAAGAATTTTTCTTTACCATGATAATTGCATGTGCTGTGGTTTATTCTTAATAGCATGCTAACCATTATGTTTGTGATGAGGGCAATATATGCTTCCTTGAGGTGCCTCTTTAAATTCAGGCAGTGGCAGCTTGAGAAGTGGTAGAAGACATTCAAGTGTTCTGTTTTCATGGGGAAGCATAGACATATGCAACACACTGGAATGCTTTACTTAATTATGTAAAGATTGCTAACTGCAATTAATGTAAGAAAGAAAATATGCATTCTCCGTGATGGAAGATAGCAAGATCTTTCCATTTACAGAAGTTCCTGCTTTATCTATGAAAATAAGTAGGTAAGAAGTTGCAGAAAAACCTGCCGAAAAAGTTCCCAGAGAAGGATGCTGACAGTAGAATAATGCGATTTGGCAAATGCAGCGCTCTTGGAAAAAGGCCACTCAAAGCATGACAGAAAGTTTTCTTGATGCAATGACAAAGTTTAAAATTTAAAGAGAGAATACTACATGAGAGTCCTGTGGGGGAGAAACAGTTATGTAATTACATAAAGCTTAGAGATGGTCGTGGCTTTTAAAATTGCTGGATATGCAGTAGCTGCACAAAGCTAGCTGAAATCAAGGAAGTTCTGGTAAAATGGAACCATGTGTTTAAAAAAAAATCCTGCAGCAAGTATGATGTTTTCAGAATTTCCCCATTAGAATGGGAAGAGCATCTCTAGAATTATTGTGTATAGTAATTGTTAAAGGAATACGTTGCTGTACATGTGTTTGGGGGATTTTTCTCAAGACAGAGATTGACTGTCAGTATCTGTTACCTAATTATGGTTGATGATTAAAAAATGGTCAGATACCAGTAACCCATGGCAGAAAAACCTTTAGTCATTTTTTTCATCTGATTTTTTTTTTCCCACTTGATTCACATCCTGGTCACTAGAAATGTGTTGAATCTGGAGTGTTTCAGCAAATGTATGAGATTGGAATCAGTAAATGAGGTGGTGTGGACTGCCTGGTAATGCCCTGCGGTGTTACTGTAACCACGAAGCTTGTTATCTCTAGAGAGCAACATTACAGTGAACTGGATTAGGGTAATCTTCTCTTTTATATGAGAAGTCAGTCAGACTATAGATTTCACCACTACATTTCTGATGTCTGGCAGCACCTGAGCTCTAGATATTCCTAATAGTCTAGGCCATAAGCTTGAGAAGAAGCTTGTGTGGCAGAGGAAGTTTGGCCTGGTAAGACTTGCTGTGTCATCTAACCTCAGCTTTCACCAGAAAGATCTGATTTAATTGTTTCTGTAGAATTTTGTTAGTAAGCTGTGTATCTTCCAAGAGACCCGTTTGTGAGCCATTTGTAAAGCATAGATCAAAGTCCTGCAAATTCTAAGAGCAGAGATTTCAAATGTTGATGCATTGACAGCCTAGAATGTATTTTAAAAAAATAATTCCAGTAGGTTTTCCTGTATGTTAATATCATTCTACTGTGTTCAACTTATTAGCAAAATTGTGTCTTTTTTAATAGCTTGCGAGAGAATCTTTCAGTGAAGTCAGTTAAAGAAGCAGAGAAGAAACTTCGCCATCTGCTTGCAGACTTGCCACTTCCACCTGAGTTGCCTGGAGGAGCTGACTTATCTAAAAGTCCTGAAGAAAAGAAACCAGCAGTTCAGTTACACAGCAAGAGAAGACCAAAGTATGTTTATTAGACTTTTTTTTAAAGCCTGTCAAGCGAGTAGAAGTGATAATAGTTTCTTTAAAATATATTCTTTTTAAAATGTTTCTGCTTTTTAATGACCTTTTTAATATTAATGAGGCTTGAATCAAACTGCATGGTTTATTGCCATTTAATGGCAGTAAGCCAGTTATCTAATAATGTCTCATAAATATTCAGTGTTGAGGTTTTTTTCAGGATTAAGACAATCCTTAGATATATTAGCTGCATTCTTAGAAATGCTTGTTGTTTTCTAGAATATGTGGACCACGACATGGTGAAACAAAAGAAAAAGAAATAGACTGGGGAAAGCGCTGTGTGGATAAATTTGATATCATTGGTATTATTGGTGAAGGCACTTATGGACAAGTTTACAAAGCCAGAGATAAAGACACAGGTAAGTTCAGAAAAGTAAACGTAATCTTACAATTTTAAAGTGAACAGGATATCTTGGTTTTGTTTTCATATTGAGTAGAATTTGTGGTATTCTGCCCTCTAATGTCTGTGATAGTCACTAGCTGATAGTAGGAAGAGAATCTGCCTCTGTGCAACACAGCCCTGAAGTGTTGCATATTGGGTATTTTTTTTGTGGCATAACTGACTTTACAACAGTGACATAATTTTTAGATTTCATGTTAAACTATTGCTCAAATGAGCAAGCAGTCACCACTGTGGTACTTGAGAATGTTGTCACTACTTCTGAATAGATAATGCATTGAAATTGATTCTTCATATGTGCTGTATGTTGCTTGATTGGTTTATGTTCAACTAGTAGTTCTTTCTGTGACTGCTTGCCCTTCTGGCTTATTTGTGCATGCTTTGAATGCTGGATAATTTTCTACTTCACCAGTAAACAAATCACGTAAGATCACACATCAGCCTCAGTTCCTTCTTTCTGATCTCGAGAAGAATGAGCAGTGTAATTAGAATTCCTTCATTTTTCACCTGTGCTTGTCTCAGTTTGCAAACTTTAGTTCTCAAGTTGAACTGTCACAGACTTTATTTTTTACCTCCTACTTTGGGAACCGTTGCAAGTCATTGTTAGGAGCTTCTTCCTGCTCTCCTGCGATTTGGTTCTTTGCACTTGTAACTTTTTAATCTTATCACAACCAGATTGCCTCTTTGGCAAGATCCAGGTTATTTGTGTGTGGCAGTTATTTCTTAACCTCCAGTAGAAGTTGTTGCTCTTTGTATTGAGTGGGTCCATACAGTTATCGCAAACTTTCCATTAGCTTTGGATTAAAATCCTGTGCAAAGAGTGGCATTATGGCCTTTGAGATACCTTATAACAAGCTGTGCAATGGGCTTTCAAAGCAAGTGGACATTGTGTCATACTGGAATGTGATCTCCTGTATTTGTATTGTATACACTGATGTAGGATAAGTCCTTTTTAGAGCTAACAAAGATATCTGTGCTGTCAATAAACTTCCCAGACACAGCAATAAACTTCCAAGAACAAAATGATTGAGTTAACATAGTCTTTAGATCTCCTCCATCATGAGTAGATCATGCTCCTGCCATTTTGCAGAATCTAGCTTCATCCAGCCCAGCCTGCAGTAAAATAATAAGGAAAATTTCTCCTCACTGTAAACATGGCAATGACACTTCTGTTTGTAGAAAGTATACTGATGAATTTGAGAACTCTTTAGTTGTCTGCCTCATATCTTGAACTGTGTAGTATTTCTGGCTAGATATATGCGTTCTGACCTGTGGTGATGTAGTAGTAAGAAATCCAGAGCAGACATAGGCCTCTGCCTCTAAAGTTGCTGTTGGTAATGGTAATCACTCTTATATGGGGGTTTATTGATAGACCTGGTGTGGAGTATCAGGACACAGGTGAGTGAGGTATGCAGGAGGAAGAACACAGGACTTACAGTGGGTGGCTGAAAATTCTCATTTATAGTTTTGCTTCTCCATGTGATTGTTTCCCAACAATGGTTAATTCTATTTCCATTCAGTATGGTGTTTGATGCAAACATCAAAATGTTAACTGTGTAATCCATTCAGAAATAGTAACAAATGGGAAGGGTTTTTAAAAACAAACGAGCAAACTCAGTAATAAATCTCATAGTTTGGTTGCTAATCTTAATGTTTTCTATTTAAATTTTCTTTTAGGGGAAATGGTGGCACTAAAGAAAGTACGTCTGGATAATGAAAAGGAAGGGTTTCCAATTACAGCTATTCGGGAGATTAAGATTCTTCGACAGCTTAATCACCAAAGCATTATCAACATGAAAGAAATAGTGACAGATAAGGAAGATGCTTTGGACTTCAAGAAGGACAAAGGTATGTACACTAACACAGGGGTAGCTCTTTCTGGTCCTGTTTTTATGGTAGTCTGCTACACTGGACTTGAAGTTAAGCTTCACTAAAAAATATGTTTGCAAATCATATGCTTGACAAGGGGTTTTAATTTTGATTTAATTACTAATAGAAGTCCTTTATTGAACTCAGCTATGCCTTTTGCTCATAGAAACATTTTTGCGAATATTTTGTGGGATAAAAAAAATTTATCACTTGATTCCAGATTTGCTGGAGAGGAACAGATGTTTGACTCCTTGACACTCACGGATTAGGGAGGCCAGCAACAATAGGAAGCTCTTAATTGTGAGCTCTTTTAGCCTTTTATTTTCATTGTCGTATTTTATCTTATCATTTATAGTATTGTAGGCTCAATGCTGAAGAGATGTTTTTCATTGTAGGCCTTGGTTTTATTTGTATTGTGCTTCAGTTATTTTTTCATAATTTGGCACGTGTGTCTTGAAGGCTAGAAGAAGGATAAATGAAAAAAATGAAAAGCAAGATTTGTTTGGTGGTGGTGGTGTTTTTGCCCAAATAGAAGGCATGCAGACTTTCACTCTTTTGGTTCCTTCAGTGTTAAGCCTGGCTTGTTTGAGTTACTGCAACCTCCTTCGCCTAGAGAATCAAGCAAAGAGTGGAAATCATGCAGTGTTGTTGCTTGGTACTTTTGGTATTGGAGTGGTCATTTTGTCTTTAGAGGCCATTTCCTTTTAGGTCCAAGTTTTATAAACCTATCATTTTGGGGTATTTTAGTGTCCTATGGGCAATTTGATACATGGTTTGGCTGAGGAGGGTTTTAGGAACGTGGTACCTGTGCTACTTCCCTGCTCTTCCTCCCTGAGTTTCTATACAGTATGCCCAGCACCAGTGCAGGTCGAAAACACGGTATGTACTGCCTAGCCAGCAGAAACACCAGGTGACGTTGTGATGAATCAGAAGATGGCTGTCAAAATTAAGCAGGAATTAGTTTGGGTTTTTTTCCTGGCATCTTTAGAAAGTATAATACCTTGAAGGGTATACAGCACTGACACGCTTTTTTATTGTGTTTAGAAGTAGGAAGCATCTAACAAAAGAGTTTCTCTAGGTGTGTGCAGGTTCAGTGGTCAGCACCCACTCTGAACCCTGACAGTCTGCAACAGCCAGTTTAGGCTTTTCATGTGAGTCTTGTACTGAGTTTTAATTAGGTCTAACCCACTTGGCTAATGAGATCACACTGAGCCTTGACTTAATACTTAATGACTCATTAATTAATTTTCTCCCTTTCTGTTTGGTGCCATGTCTAGGATTGAATTGTAAATTTTTTTGGTGTACTTCAAACTGCATGTCTCATTAATTTCAAATGGGGTTTTTTTGTCCAAGTCTGTATTTGTGCTTTTGATATTGCTTTCAATTTAATTTCTCATTCTTATTTAACAGCTTATTAAAACAATTACATTTTCAAAAAATTTGCAAGGGAAGGGGCTTCTCTGGAGATGTAGAATAAAATTAGTTTCTGATAGTCTCTTGAAAGCATTAGCATGATAATGAGACTGTGCTATTATGATTTGTCTGTGAAAAGATGGAAGTTGGTTTTTTTTCAGGCACTGCATTCTGTGTTTCTCTAATGAGTAGTTTATTATGAGGTGGGCATTTATAGCTGAGACACTGTGGCCAAATTGTAGTCTACACAGGGAACGAATGCAAGTGGGAGGAAGTTTGGTCATTTTCATGGTAAACCATTGCAAACACAAAAGTAGGCTGCTTCGCTTAAGAAGGAACCATTATATAAGTGATAGTGATGTCTTATCGAGGCAGAGCTTACAGTAGAAGCAAAGTGTTTTGCCCTCTGATGAACATGCTTATGCTTAACGTATGTTATATGCTTTTTTTAGCTTTGAAATATAGCTCTCACAAAACCCAGCTGATATCCCATTTGTAAAAGTAGGGAATGAGAACATTTCTGTTCCTGGAACACATATTCCTCTAGTTAATATGACTAAAGTTAGTTTTGCATCTAAGGACACCTATCATATCCTGACCTATTACTTATTTACTTAAGGGTGGGGTTTTTTTTTGTTGGATCTCGGTAGTTTAAAATCCAGCAAATCTAATTTTCTGACACTTGTGTAAATATTGGGCACACTTTGTACAGCACTTGTTTTAAGGATGCTTTTTAAGATAGTAACGTTGGCCTGCAAAGCAGCAATGGCTTGGTTTGTACAACTTTGTCCTGATACTTTGAGCTACATGTGTTACATGTTTTTAAGTGACATAATCCTATGTCTTCCAAACTTTTGAGTATCTGACTTGTCTCAATATTTTCAATGGTGTTTTACTTTTAAAGAAAGTGGAAGAAAAGCCTATCTGTGTTTTATGCTGGCCAGCTTAGGATATAAGTTTAACAATAGGAACAGCTTTAATAGTTAGGATTGGTTTTATTCTTTCTAGACCTACCATTAGAAAAAGAAATGTAACACATTGGAGCAGTGTTGTATATATGTTATAAGGGTATTTCAATCAGTGGAAATACAGCACATCAGACAGCACAATTGTTTGTATAGGTTGGGCACATACACAGCTGGGTGGGTGATACATGGGTCTGCTATACTAAAGATATGAAGTTTTTACTTTTGCAGTCTTAATTATGTATGAGATGTGCTTGATGATAAAGTTGGAGAACAGCATTACTGATTACTAATTGGTAATGTAACATCTTGATTCTGAGGCATGATCCTGCCAGGTGAAACATATATGTTGGGTGTGGCGAAAAGGAGTATCCATTTTGTATGTTTCTCATGTAGGCTTTTCTCCCCTACCTATCATTCAGAGGGAGATATGTGAACACACAAGCTTGGGGATGAGCACACATGACTCATAGTTTGTATTCTGTCTTGTCTGTGTATCGGCATAACAGCTGACTTAAAAAAAAGTCTGCTGAACATATTGTTAAAACCTCCTCTGCTTCTCTCAGGACTTAAAGCCTCATTTGACTTGATAGCACTGATGACGAGCTATAGTTTCCATTCAATTTTTTCCCAAAAACCTCAGAACTCTGGTTATTTTTGTTGCAAACGTTTTCTTCTACTGAGCTGGTAGAGGAGCAATTGTGGGTGTCAGTCTTCGACAGTAGTAGAAGCAGCCTGACAGTGTTGGTGCTTATGACCAAGTCTGCTGGCAACTAAACTTTCCTTTGCTTTTCCTTTCTGTTTGCTTGATGGTAGTTCAAATTAATTGGAGTTCACATTTATGAACTTGAGTTCATGTCCTTTTGGAGCAGAGTTTGGAGCAGGAGGATTGTATTTTGCAGAAGCTCTTCATCTTCTCTTAGCGTTTTTTTTTGTCTGAGAAAGTTTGTGTGATGTTCCTGTGCAACAGTAATTGAAGAAATCAAGATTTAAGACGGAAGTTGAAAACAAAGAGCTATTTCCTAGGTATATTCAAATCTATACATCTCATAAGCTAAGTTAGTTATGCCACTTCATCAGTTATAACATGAATCATTGGAGAAAAGGCCCTTCTTACTTTGGGCTTTTGTCAGCTTTGGTTTGTTTTCTCCGTGAGTTTGTCATTTGTATGACTTAGGTGTCTCTCTCTTTTTTCTTTGGGCACCTGAGATGGTCCTTCAGTTCTCAGTTGCCTCTTTATCAGTTAGAAGCTGTTTGGAAGTGCTCAACAGTCTAGCTATGAGACTGCCATGATCTCTTTTTACTAAACACATGGAGAGTGTTTAGTAGCTTTTGTTGCTGTGAATGTAAAACCAGTAGGTGTACTGACTGACATCTCTTCCTCCTTTTGACTGGAAGAGGCATTTTTAATTGCTAACCCGAGAGAGGATGTAAAACTTTGCATGGGAGACTAATAGAAAAGATCTGGTTAACATCACACCTTAGGGTTTTTTTTTCTGTGTGTGGATTATCTGTTTGGATTGTGTGTGTGTGTTTCTGTAATTCATTTTAAAATCTAAGTTTACTTTAGATAGATAAAATTTTGAATTGATTTGCAGTATAAATTAACAAAACTTTTTAGGCGTGAAGTCGGTATTTATCTCGACAGTATTGTAGTACACGTGTCAAAAGACACTGACTTTGTGGTACACTGTCGTATGACTAGCAGGTTACCTTCTCACAGCTGTCAAGGACTGAAAGCTGTCTGAAAGCTTGTGGTTTGGAAGGAGCCTGTGACAGCAATCATGTAGTCATCAGAGAGTACTTCGCTACAGGGTTCCTTCTCTACTTGTATCATAGCAAGCTTTATCCAGGTTTCCTGGGAAGTTGAGTAAAACCAAACAGATCTGAATTTCAGAAACCTCTTATGAACTACAGCTTGCCTGGCTGCTCCCGAAATAGCAGATGGAAATTTCTTACCCAAATAGTTTTGATGCTACAGCAAAGTTATCAGGAATAGTGTGACCGCTTGAGCGGTGCTTCCCGTTTGTGTGTGTTGTACTGGACTCTGGTCTGGAATGAGTGCAGACCTAACTGTGTGGCTTTTCAACCTGATCCATGTTACGGCAAAATGAGAAAAATCCCTGATTATTAATCAAGGATTTCTGATATGTTTGGTTTACTTTTCCTTCACTTTAAGTTTTTTGTTTGGTTTCTTATTTCCCTGTAGTATGTGATGAAACTCCCAGGGCTTCTGTATGCCCTTGGCTGGTACACCTATTTCAGAACGTGTTTCTATGTACATGGAGTTTGGGTTGGATTTGTTTCAAGAGGAGAATGCAGTTGAACTTGCAATGGGAGAATAACACTGTCATCAAATAAAAACTTAATATTTGGTGAAAATGTAAAAAAAAAAAAAGGAGAAGTTCTGCTTTTGTTAGACTAAATTTGTCTTAAACAGTAAGTTTTTTCATATCTAAATGGAAAAATGAGCATAGCAGTGATGCTTTCTATAGTCTTAAGGTGATTAATTAAGTGGCTATGCCTTTATTTGGTGTTTCGCAAATTAGAAAATAGGTTTGTGTGGTGGTTTAACCCCAGCCGACAACTAAGCACCACACAGCCGCTCGCTCACTGCCCCCTGGTGGGATGGGGGAGAGAATCAGAAGAGTAAAAGTGAGAAAACTCGTGGGTTGAGATAAAGACAGTTTAATAGATAAAGCAAAAGCCGCGCATGCAAGCAAAGCAAAACAAGGAATTCATTCGCTGCTTCCCATCGGCAGGCAGGTGTTCGGCCATCTCCAGGAAAGCAGGGCTCCATCATGTGTAACGGTTACTTGGGAAGACAAACACCATCCCTCCAAACATTCGCTCTTTCTTCTTCTTCCCCCAGCTTCATATGCTGAGCATGACATCATATGGAACAGAATATCCCCTTGATCAGTTGGGGTCAGCTGTCCCAGCTGTGTGCCGTCCCAGCTTCTTGTGCACCCCCAGCCTACTCGCTGGTGGAGTGATGTGGGAAGCAGAAAAGGCCTTGGCTCTGTGTAAGCTCTGCTCAGCGGTAACTAAAACATCCTTTTGTTATCAACACTGTTTTCAGCACAAATCCATACCAGCTACTATGAAGAAAATTAACTCTATCCCAGCCAAACCCAGCACAGTTTGTAAAACGTGAGTAGAAAGAAAAGAGGACTGTCCGTTTAAGGGACTTTAAGGAATTTAAATGTAAGGAACTTCAATGAGTTGCTGGACAATTTCTTCTTTAGTTTTCAAGCTCTGTTTGATAAAATTCTGTTTAAAACTGTCTTGGAATATAGTGTATCATGAGTACCAGAAGAGAAATGTTAAGGAAATGGAAGAGTAAATATAATCCAATTATCTTTAATCAATTAAAGAGGGAAAAAAAAAAAATCTATGTATTGCATAGAAGAAGCTGAGGAGGCTTATTAGCGAAATGAAAATCTGATGGAGTCTCATTCTGAACAGTGAGTACAGAACAAAATGTTGAAAACCTGTTCAGCAACTCAGCATTGTACATACCACGCACTGAATGAGGCAGGGATCCTTTTTTTTTTTAAGCATTTTTGTATTTCAAGATGCTATTGTAATGCATTTATACAAAGATTGAATTCGAATTTGCACATAATAAGGCACTTCTGGTCTCCTGGTTCCTCTGATCTGTATCTAAGCAGATATTTTGAGAAACCCCAAACATCTTCCCTATGAAATTACATTTGGAAAATATTTGCTTAAAAGCTGTCATCTATGTAGGCTTTTGGATCATTCTCCGCTGCGGCTCCCTCCCTCCACCCCACCTCCAGCCCGAAATGCTTGATCTTACTTTGGGAACAAATGCGTAACTTGATGTCCTGCTTTGCTAGATCTGTGTGATTTGATGACAGTCCAAAAAAATCCAGAGCCTGCCTGTGTGACAAAAATGCAAAGTATGTTTTGTTAGGTTTTTTGGCCCCTCAGAAAATCTTTTGTTTATTACAGATCATCAATGCCATGTTTTGTTGAGTTACCCATTTTGTATGCATAGCTTTACAGCACTATACCCCAGCTCATTTTGTGTTTTGGTTAAGAAAGCTGCCACTGTTAGAGCTCCATGACTTGAAATATATGAACAGGAGGAGGAGATGTATTAATTCTTTAATTATTCTAAACCGATATCTCACTTTCTGACCCTTATCAATCTTAACTGACTAAATGGTCAGACAAATTTTTCTAAGTGCAAACAAAAGGAGTAATGCGAGGATTGTTTCCACCCATGTGAGTTTCCTTTATTTGTTGTGTACCTCCCTAATAGATTCAGCTATCTCTTATCCCATATTCAGAAGTAGGCAATATTACTACTGTTCAGCCGTTCCAACTGCTGCTCTGTCAACGTGCAGTGACATTAAGGTTTCTTACTATCTCAGTAAATGAAGGAATGGAGATGAGCTGTGTGGTATTGGCAAAGGAAATGGGGCACCCAGGACATAAACCCCCTGTTAGGGCTTTGTGGCAGCATGTAGAAACGGACTGTAGGCTGCCTTCCACCCCACAGGTACTTACATATTGGGAAGTGCAGGTCTTACAGCAGTAAGATGAGTAACGTTAAAGTCAAATAAGTAATTCTGGATTCATCTGAATTGCATGTGCTTTACTGTAACAGAGCTTTAGGTGTTTTCATGACACTGCTTCCAGAAATGTGGATATTGAGAAAAGCTAGCATGAAACAAAGGGTCATTTTAAAACATAACTTCCAAGTTATCGAACGTCTTGGCCTCATAAAGGAAAGAACAATTATTTTTTTCTGTTATGTTTTCCTTTTTGAGAAATGGGTATTTGTGTGGCATTTGTTTTGATTGAACTAAAGGATGCTGTAAACGTGAACTCAGACTATGCTGTAGTAAGCAGACTTCTGCCTGTGCATAGTTCACTTGTGAAGTCTTCTATGACTGTTTTCTTCTTCCTGAATATCTATAGCTTCTTTCCGTGTTATGAAGGATCAGATCCCCCAATCTGATGAAAAGCAATAGAGATTTGAAATGATAAAATGGAATAACATAACTGTTTTGTTGACCGAAACTGTAGATCTCTCTTAGAAAAGGGCACTACGTTTGTCTAGAAATAAACTAACAGAAGTTTCACTTCAGTTTGCTTGATATCTTTTTTGCAGCTACAGTCATTTCCAAATATAATTTGAGTAATACTGAAAATCAGGTCTTAATGGTTAGACTGCCATCTTTAATAGTTTCTCATAACCACTGAAGAAGATTCAGCTTTGACCGTTCTTCTTTTTAAAACAAATTCTAACATTGTATAATATGTAGGTAGTAAATAGGTAGTAATGCACAAGTGTAATGCATCCGTGCATTTGCTCTTGCTCTGATATGAAGAACATTTAGTGTTTATTCTGTTCCAGTGTCTATATTTCTTAATGAGAGTTGCAGAGAATATAAGTAATCGGATGTCCTCTCCCAGGTACTACTCTGTTTTATTTATGAATGGTCTCCATTGTTGTCAGCTTTCCTTCTTGCATGAGGGTACCAATTGTGATTGCTGGTTATAAATAGTTTTGAAAAATCCCGGGAGCTAGCGTCAGAGCAGGAAATTGCTTAAGGCATGGAGCCTACTTTGCATATAAACAAGAAGACTGTGTTCAGCTGTTCTCACTAAACAGGTCTGCAGTCCCACTGACCCTTCCCAGGCTTTCTTCTTGTCATGTACACACACAGTGTAGCCTGCTGCCATGACAGAGTTAACTTCCCTTTGTATTCCAGAGCAAGAAGATACCAAGATCATTGGTATTCAGTTTTGTTGAGCTGACATCCTCTGAAGGCAATATCTAGATTATCCTGGCACTGCATTAATATCAAGTGTTTTGTTTCAAGGCCTTTTAAAATATGTCATGGTTCATACTTCAGCAGGTGTCAGTGAAATAGACCTAACATCAGGTTGCCAGCTATCTTGTTTTAAAAGACCAAGATCAGGAGCCTCTGTGCTTTTTACCATGCTGAACTGGTGAACTGCATTGGTGAACTCAGTTATGCAAATAGTAACACAGCAGACTTTTGGTTCTTTATGGCTCTTAATACTTCTTTCTTTCCTTTTGAAGTGGTGGGATCGGGTTGTACCTGCTTGATTTACCTCCTGCTCCACCTCCTCTGTACACACCAACAGGGTATTTTGCTTCCTCTGTATAACATGCAGCAGGACAAAAGGACCTAAATTAAAAACAATGAACTCTAAGTGTCTTATGCAACGGCTGGTGGTTTAGCTGCTCTATGCTGATCTTTGTTACAAGTTTAACACTTACTGTATGAGTAATCTTTTTTCTGTTTGTTAAATACCAGATGGTTTTAGCACTCTTTCTTCCCTTTTCAGCTACTGCACAAGAAAACAAGTCAGTTCATTAGAATTTGGCCGTGTGTGTGTGTGTGTGTACGTTCTGGCAAGCTGACTTCTCATTATTGCTCCAAGACTTTCACTAGCTTCTGAATTGAAACTTCTTATTTAGGAACTACAGTCTGTAATGTGTTCATGTTGGGCAGAAGCTGTTTGTACTTTAGAGTGGTGGCTTTGAAATCTCTTTGGGGGAGGCTTTTGAAAATGGAAGGTAGACAGACCCACTTGAATGTAGTTTCTGAATTGCCATCAGTGCTCTACAGGGACTGTGCTGTCTTCTCTGCCCCAGAGTTAGGAAGAAGGGAAAGAATTAAGTACTAAAAAGTAGATCATACTGGGAGTGGTTGTGCTGGAGATTGGTTATTGCTGCTTCTGAAGCACTCGGCACTTTTCCTCTTTAAGAATACTTACATATATCAAAGAGCCTTGGCTTTAATAGCTTTTTTTGTGGAATTACACAGACTAATGTGACATAAGACCAGATTCTATTATGCTTAATATATGTATGTGGCAACTTGGAATATGAACTCCGTCTTTGCAGAGCTGCTGTTGCTAGTAGGTTAGTTCTGCTTTCTCATTTTGTCTTGTCTTATAGGTATTTTTAGTCTGAGAAGGGCAGGCTTATTTCTGACCCAATTCCACACTGAAAGCTTAAAAAAAATCAGTCACTGAATCATGACAGATGAACTAATGCTGTACATACTTTGTTTCTAGATTTTTCCCCAAACTTTACATAGGGAATATTAACCCAGTTAATTTTTCTTTAAATAAAATAGATGGAGATTGAGAGCCATAGGGAGAGTACATGTCCATCTAGATTAAAGAGCCATATGGTGGCGTTATAATATGTTTTCACAAACATTTGACTAGTATAATTGTTTACGTGGAAAAGCAATTTTATGAAAACATTTTACTGCACTGTATTTCATTGCTGTTATTGGACATGAGGTACAGCTATAAATATTGTGTGAAAAATACTTCCAACTTTCAAAAGTAGGGGAGCAGCAATGCTTTGGACTGCTGTTGAATCAATTTCTCTCTCTCTGTTTCTCCTACCCTTTCCCTTTGTTTTCATAGGTGCATTTTACCTGGTATTTGAATATATGGACCATGACTTGATGGGACTGCTGGAATCTGGTTTGGTTCATTTTAATGAAAATCATATTAAATCTTTTATGAGACAGCTGATGGAGGGCTTGGCGTACTGCCATAAGAAGAACTTTTTGCACAGAGATATCAAATGTTCAAATATTCTACTAAATAATAGGTATGGATATTACTTAAAGTATGTAAAAAAAATTGTATGGTAACAACATGTTTAAATTTTTCTTTTGATCTTTACAGTTCACCTGCTTTAAGTCATTAGCAAAGCTTTTTTTTAGGTTGCCTAGTTTCTTTAAAAATCAATTGTAAAATACTAATCTGATAATGTTGCTGCTTAACACTGGATCCTGCAATTGTTTGTTAAACTTATCTGTGTTAAAACAGCAGGATTAAAACTTGAATCTTTTAGGTCAGAGTATGGGGGAAAATTATCTGAGTTCAAATATATTAAAACAGAATTTTAGGACATAAGTGTTTGACGTGTATTCTTTTTGCCATCTCATTTCAAGATTAAGTGTGGCTAGGCTGGTTCTTCGTGACGTAATTCTGAGGTCCTCGTTTTCATCAGTCAGGATAATGCTTTAAAAGAATATTCGATCAGGCGTGTTCAAACATGCTTTGGCTTGCAGTTATAGCCATAATGAAATGGAGAGAAGAATTGTTTCTTGCTTCTTTAACCACTTGTAATTACAAATCATATTAGTGAACATGCTTTTGTTCAGTGTGCAACAGCAGCAAATAAAAAGCCTGTGTGAAGATAGCGGATAACTTCAGTACATAACTGTTGTTCATCAAATCCAGCAGTACTAAAACCAGGGAGCAAATGTAAGAGCAAGGTTTAGAACAACAAAAAAGAGTATCTTTATGGAGCAGGTAGTCACTTTCTGGGGTTTGTTGTCACAGGAGGTTTTCCAGGTAGTGTCAGGAGGTTTAAAAAGGTGAGACACATTCATGGACAGGATCACAATCACACATTCCCTGCTAAGGGGAATAGACAGGAATACCTGTTTTAGCATCCTTAACACAATGATTGTGGGTGGTGGTTAAGTACAAGGAAGATGAGCCCGAAAGCAAGCAGGTTCACATGTTCTCCCTAAAAATCTACTGCTGCTGTTGGAGATGAAATACTGGGCAAAATGGAATAAGGATCTCTTTTGGTCGGGCCCTTGTTTTGTCCCAGCTTTCTCCAAATTACATTTTCCGTTTTTTCCTGCTTTTTTTCTTATAACGAACTAACATAGACTATTTTCAGCTCTGGATTCCACTGCAGTCATGCCAGATTATGAAACAGACTCTTAAACAGATGTACACATGCCTCCACATCACTCACTGTGCCCACACACCTAATCTTGCTTGCTTGCTTGCTAATCTCCAGTGGTGGTGCTGTCTTTGTGCACCTTTGGGAACTCGGAAGCTGAGGTGTAACCTGACAGTGGAGAAGAGTATATTATGGTAGAGGTGGAGCTTGCTGTTGTACTGTGTTCTCTCCAATCCAGGATACAGAGTTTTTTCCCCTAGGATATTTTTTGAGCATCCTTAGGCATTTCCACTGGAAGGAGAAAAAGTCAATAGTTGATCTGAATAATTTTAAGCCAGTGTTTCTAGAATTCCATTACCAGTTACAGCCTGAAGCCAAACACATGGATTATGTATCTTTTAGATACGCAACTTAAATGTCTTTGCTGAAAAATTCATTGATCTTCCGCAAATACTCTCTCTGAGGAATAAGCGTGTAAATTTGAGGGGAACACTTTTTTGTTTATGGGGGTTCTCCAAGTGTTACAGCAATTCCAAGCACACATCTGAGGGGAAAAATGGAATTGAAACTATAACCTGTGTATTTTATTATCACAAAATGGTCATTCTTACACACATCAGCAAGTCTTGCCGTAATTTGGTAAAATAAAATTTATTTGAGAGTGACATTTGCGTGTATTTGAAAGTGACAGGAGTTTTAAAAGCTCATAAGTACAGAAAAACGAAAACCCCATGTACGATTCCAACTTTCATTTCATGTATTGGAGAAGCTTGCAGATAGATTTCTGTTTAAATCATCCAGACTTTACAGATGGTGGGGGCTTCTGGTCATTGAGCAGTGCCTTTTAGCTGTGGAAACTGCCAGGCGAGAGCTCTGTATCTTCTACTCTTCCCCTCATATATGGGAAAACTCAAGAAGGGATTAGGGGTTGTGTCATTCAGCAAGTTGGCTGCTGGCAAAAATAGAAGCCCTTATCTGGTCCGTCACCCTGATTTAAAGGCTGTATTTAAACTTTACAAGAGCAGAACAGGACTTTGATGGCTTCCTAGAAGGAAATGTGACTGCTGATAGTTGTTTGTTGTACAAATGCTTATGCTAGCAGTAAGGCATGAGAAAATAGCAGTTTCCTCCCTCTTTTTTTTCCTGCAGAGTTACTGATTTGAATACTTTACAGTATACACCTAAATTTTAATTAACATCCGGTGATGTAAATGCCATTTGATGAGCATACCTAATTTTGCTTACTTGTCTTTGCTATTCAGTAATTTAGTGTATTTGTTTACTGAAGAGATGTGTAGATTGTAAGGCATTGCCTCCTCATTAATGTGGTTTGGTGAATATGAGTTGCAGCTGTCTCAAAATCTCAGACTTCACCTGATTTTGGGGGAGGAAATCTAACAGGATTAACCACTAAATAATTCTTTGCTTTTTCCACCAGAGGGCAGATAAAGCTTGCAGATTTTGGGCTTGCTCGGCTGTACAACTCTGAAGAAAGGTAAGATATAATTATACTGTGGAAAAGCATTCAGAAGTTTAATCTTTCTGCATAACTCTAAGTATTATGAGGTCCAGAAAAGAAGACTGTTTTGTTTAGAGGAGATGTTATTGTACTGTGATACAAGTAATTGCTTAGGAAATGGAAAGAAGTGCATGTTGTCTTACACTGCATAAAACCACAAAACTCTCTTTGTATTGCTTTTCCAAGTGTTCTGGATAAATAGCTGTAGAAAGTGGCCATATATTGATTGGAAATGAAGAGTTTCAGTCCTAATTAGGTTGCATCAATACGTGGATTTTTACTATTAGTTTCTGGTCCTGTAAGCCTAAAGTATATTCTTTCTGTTGGTATACCTAGGAGAATTTTATTTAGGGAAAGCGAAATTTTTTTGCTGACACAAATTAGTATACAGTTTCTTTTCAAAAAGCGTTACTTTTGTGTGAGATTTAACCTTACGTTTGAAGAGGTTCATTGTATTCTTTAGGCAGTCAGTGCTGTTGAATCTGCTGGAAACGGAGATATAAGTTTAAATAAAAGTTATTCTGAAACTTCTTGTGACTTGTGCTTCTGTTGTTCTTGGCTTCATTATGCTTGTACTCCAGGAAACAGGTGCACAGTTTTTATGATTAAGAACTTCAATATTTATATTGTAATGTCATGTGTTTGTAATGTAGAACTGGATTTTCAAAATTCAGGCTGAATGTTCATTACACTAATATGTACATCGGATGGTTGGATACAGAGAATATTAGCTACCTGAGCTTGCTTTGATTTCTGCATGCCTAATTTGGGAAATAATATCCATAATGTTAGCTTTATGAGTTTATTGTTTTCTCACAGAGCTCTGAGCTTGTTGTTGAACCTGATAGCATTAGTTGCACTGTCTTCTGAGCTGTAATTTCAGAAACATATGCTTAAGTACAGTTCTGAAAACTGTTGAGCATAGTAGCAGAGTAAGATAATCTTAAGCAGCTGCTGGGTAATTAATTTTTGTTTTGGTTGTACTTAAAAGGGATTGATACTATCCTACCTTCTTATTTTAATGTGCACCAAACTGACCTAATTTTTTTTTATCTCTGGTTTGCCATGGGTTTTTTTAATGTCTGTTTTTAAATTAATTTAAATTTTGCTTGTAAAACTAACTGTTCATTAAGAATTGAATGACTGAAAGTTCAGTGTCTTTATAGTGCAAATAACAGATTTTATGAGACATCGAACAGTAACATTATTACACCATTAAACATAAATGAAACCACAATTAAAATGTAATTATGCTAGCTAATAAAATTGCCAGTTGAACTTGGGAGGATAATTAGAATCTCATTAGTAGATTTTTGACAACTCTTTTGTCGTTCATTTTCCTTCTGAGTAGCTTCTGACCTGTGGTAACAGATGTAATTAACGTATACCAACAAGTGTATAATAGCTGCTGCTTTAAATTCATGTATTTTACATTTGTTTTACTGTTGTTTAGAATTATATACTTTTCAAAAGGGCACAGAATTTAGTGGGAGCCTAATGGGGAGGAAATAATGTAATTTTAAGTAAATTCCCATCGGTTGTTGTAGTTGTGCTCCTTTAAATGTTATTCTGGTGGATTTAGTATGTTTGGAGTAGGAGATATGACAGATTGTGTAAGAAAACATCTGTTCAAATAAAAAGCACCATATACTAATATATATGAGTGATGTATCTGTAGAGAAAGTCCATATCATGTAAACATTTTATAGAGGAATGCTTGCTTCAGAGATAAATATGATAAATGATGGTATTGTTTCCAAAAACATACTACATTTTAAAAATTAATTGGGGAGTTTCTTAATGGAAAAAAGACTTGGGTGATTTTGCAGAAATGATACCTGTACCACTGGGTATGTTATAAGAGCTTGTGAGACTTTATGCTATGGTGGTTCAAACTCCGCACGTAATGTTACTCTGCTTTCTCTTTGGAGTTACGTAGTGTTGGTAAGAGTGAATTATTGAAACTGAAAGAATTTTGGGATCACTTTTAAGACACCCTGGTTGAAACAAAACCGAAACCTAACATCTGTTTTCTGCCTTCCATTCTGAACTGTTGATGCTGTATATTGGCCTGTCCACAAAAAAATGTGTGTCTAAGATAGTGGAAATCCTTGCCTTAGTATGAGGGTGGAAGGGATTATTCCCAGTGACCAAAACTTCTGGTTAGAGCTGTAGAGAATTAATCATGTGAAATATAGGAAGATATTGGAAGTGTTCCAGGCTTTGGAATCAAAATTTTTGGAGGGTGTAGTTCAAGAAAAAGGCTTTGTCTCTTTTGCTCCTACTTACAGAGGGGAAAGTGACTTTTTTTCTTCTTTTCAAAATACTTGTAGAGGTCCTATATTCAGTATTCTAATAATGGATAGTTGCCCCGAAATTACTGGTTTTATCCAAGCAGGTCCTTCTCCTGAAATGACTAGCAATGTAATAAATATGCAGTATTGCTATCTGATTAATAATTGAGATACAGGATTCACCTAACATCGAAATGGCTATGTGATTATTATTTATATCTTCAATCTGTCCTTTGATAGCCCTGGTCAGACGGTTGTGTTTGCTTTTGTGCAGTTGCAGCTCTGCAAGACTAAAATTAGGAAAAGGGAGTGGAAGATTGTACTGTTCTTAAACAGCACCACAGAAGTAAAGTCCTCAAAGTATCACTTTTTCGGAAATGAGATCGTAGTAAAATGATAGTCCTCTCTTTTTCCTCCCCCCAACAGCCGACCATATACCAACAAAGTTATTACATTATGGTATCGGCCTCCTGAACTTCTGCTTGGAGAAGAAAGATACACGCCAGCTATCGATGTCTGGAGCTGTGGGTAAGAGTTTGGTACAGAACTGTAGCAAGCATAAAAACAAGCCAAAAATAAATCTTAAATGTTTCTATCAATCTATATATTGAAAGCCATAATGATGGAATTGTGCAAAACTGTTTTACAGCTGCATCCTGGGTGAACTTTTTACAAAAAAGCCAATATTTCAAGCAAATCAAGAACTTGCTCAACTGGAACTCATAAGGTAACTTGCAAGCACTACCACATAGTGGGTGCCTCATAAACTGTCAGGTTTCTTTTGTTAGTGTTAAAATCAGAGATAACGCACTGCGAACATTTACAAGTACTCAGTTATCACCCTGAGTGAGATGTTAGAGGTTTTGAGGGGCATGTACAGCAAGTGACTTTTGCTTCGTCATGGAGAAGGGTTTTTTGTGACTCTTCTGTGGTCCTAGCAATGTACAGTTGAATAGTAAGAGGGTTTTTTGTAGAGCAGCTGGAGTTGCCTGTTACTGAAGTTGTAAAGAGAGAGTAGTCAAAATGCCCGTTATTTTTTAAGATTGTGTTACAACTTCCTTGCAGCAAATCAAAACGAAAACATGGACAATAATAAGAATAAGTGGGATTTGGGAGGAGTAGGTATTTGGCATGCTACTGGCCTTGAGTTCTTGTTTCAAACCTTCCACATACACACCTGGGCTTTATTATTTTTGTGGGAATATTTCTGTTCCCTTACAAACTGCCAGACACTTTATGGGGGCAAAAATTCTGTTTCTTTCCTTATCTGAGTAAATCATAGAATGATATGTATATAACTTAGTGGAACCAGAGCATCTTTTTTTTCTCCTTTATTCAGCAAGCAAAATTGCTCTTGATTCTGATATCATAATTGACCTCGTGAGGAGAGGTCCTCTTCCTAGAACAAGGGGAAAAGAGGGTGACTCCTACAGAACTTGCAGAACCTGAACAATAAACAGTCAACATTATTTTAAAAATTAAATGAATAAAAAATATTACGAAGTTATATATTGAGATGTTTTTCAAAACAGATTAAACAGTAGCATGTTTCTGCGTAATGTGTTATTAGCTGGCCTGGAAAAATGAAGTTTTTAGGAGGTGCGAAGCATAACAGTGATCATTCTCAGCGTAAGGAGAACTAAACTTATGAGTTTAGAAATTTTTGCTTTCGAGCACTAGATGGCATTGAAGCACGTCACAGTGCAGTCATTTGAAGTTTTTCCTCTTTGTGTTGTACCTTTGGTACAGCAAACTAAAATTTTGCGATTTTCGTCTCCTGCTGGAAGCTCCTGTTTGTAGCTCATTTTTCCTCTTCGCTGATGCTAAGCATTTTTGGCTGTTCATATATAATAAATCAATTTTATCAACATCTCTACCACCGTCATGTTGCAGTCAACAATTCTACATTTATCCTTTTGAACTTTAATGTTCAAAGATAGAGCTGAAGTAAATTCTCATAGCAAAAAATAGGTTTATTATTTTTCTTTTCCCTCCTGAAAGTTACATACCCCAACCAGCGTAAAGTCAGATTGGTTTGCATAGCATTTGGGCATAACTAATAGATTATTAGGTGTCTTACAGTAACCGTTTAAATCTTATAAATGGGAGGGGTGAACTAAGGAAATGTATTTGCAAAATGTCCTTTTGTGACTTGCCTGCATTAGAGTTTGAAACCTTGCATTTATGGTAAAATGCCTCTTTAGTTTTTCTGCTCAGAAGTGTGGTGTTGGTCAACCTGTGCTTAGCCATCCTCGCTTGGACAAAATGAGTGGGGATGGAGGGCGAGGAATAAGACTATCGGCAGCTCCATTTGTGGAGATAGATGAGGCTTGAGACATAAAACTCATAACTGAAGTAAAAAATATACAGGTTTTCTAGTGGTTGGATCTTACTTCTGCCCTTAGGCCTTACTGAGATTTCCGCCCCCCCCTTACGTCTTCAGTGTCAACTAAATTCTCAATGAAAAGTGCTTTTTCAGCCATTTGGTGTATCTTTCTTCAGTGGCATTGGGAGTTAAGGACATAAAAGTTAATTAGCAGTCTAAACCTGGGCTATCCAGTTCTCCAATTCAAATACCTGGAGTTCTATCCGGACATAGCTGGTTAAGTTTTTCAAAACGTTTGTGTGGAGGATGCCTGGGGTGAGGTGAGGCAGAAACAGTGGACGACTTAAAGTAAGTTTAGTCTGTGCAGGGTGGTTACCTTTCGTAGACAATTCACTGTTATTTAATGATGTTGGGCATTTTAGCTAAAAGAACCTGAACATTAAAATTTAAAATTATTTTTGTATTCACTGTATGTGCAAGAATAAAATGACAGCTGTGTTCACTTGTGGTTTTGGATCTCATACCCTTTTTTTCCCTTCTTTTTGGTACAGCCGAATTTGTGGGAGTCCTTGTCCAGCAGTGTGGCCTGATGTCATAAAATTAGCTTATTTCAACACAATGAAACCAAAGAAGCAGTATCGTCGAAAACTGAGAGAAGAGTTTGCTTTGTAAGGATGAAGAATTAGTTTAGTCACCTGTGATAACATTAAGTTTTCCTGGAGACTTTATGAACTTCACTGTTTTCTAGAGAATGAACATAGATTAAGTGTAAAGAAAAATGGCTTTTGGTTCTTATCCTTCCCATGATACCCACAGAGCTTTTATTAACCCTTATTTAATAGGAGCTTCAAGAAGAAGGAAGAAGGCCCTAAAATTTCAGCCACCTGTCAGTTTTCACCTAAGGAAATGTTTGTTTTCCATGATTGGTACACCTGCTTGTTGTCCCTGTCCAAAAAACAGCTTAGAGTACTTAATTGTTTTTTTATTAGGACAACTGGCTACAGCTAAATATGTAGTCTGGTTAACATTACAGTCTTTTGGGTCATAAATTCATTCAAAACAGAGAAGTTGTCTGAACCGTGTATTCTAAAGTACTACCATTGGACTAGTGTTGTGCAAATATCACATGTGAAAGTTATGGGAAACAGCTGTAAGCTTATTTTAAAGGGTTTGTTCCCCTCCTTCAGTTACTGTGGGTTTCAGGAGAAATGTATCATCCTGGTTGTACTAATGAGACTTATATCTTTAAAGCAATAGAATTATTGTCCGTGGACCAATCAAAACTGCAACTCCCCAGGTGCTAAAATTCCAAAGTGTAAAGTAACAATATAGTCATGGATTAAAAAGCTGTTGGGTTTTTTTTTTTGTAAGGACAATGTTTCAAGCCATTAAACCACACAAAGCAAAGAAGGCTTGGGTTATATGCTTGCACAGGTAATAAAAGGTGAAGCTTATCTCTGCCTCTTACTACCAAGCTCAAGTGGTGAGTGGGTTTTGTTAGGATGTAAGTTATCTGAGGACTTAATGATCAGTTATTTTGGAAGGCATGTGTTTATTAAAATTTTGCAAAATTTTTGAAGTGTGTGATTCAAAATAAAAACGTGATGGTTTTCCCCATTTTGCTCTTTTGTAGCATCCCACCAGCTGCATTAGATTTATTTGATTATATGCTTGCTCTGGATCCCAGCAAGCGCTGCACAGCCGAACAAGCTCTTCAGTGTGAGTTTCTGCGAGATGTGGAACCATCTAAAATGCCTCCTCCAGAGTAAGTAATTTCCTTTGGTAATGGTTCTTATCTGTATGAAATGTGAACATTCACTGATTTCATTAAGCTCATTGTGTTTCACTTAAAGTAGATGGTGGCAGAACAAAAATGTTGATACATACAGTTGTTCAATGGTGATTCTGCACTAAAATGGTTGTGCAGTTGAGTGACTCTTACACCATGGTAGCAGTGGTTGTGAGGATCTGAGAACTGTTTCATTTGTTATTCCTAGAACTAGTTACTGAGTTAGTACCTTTAAGAAAAATAGTCTTATATTAATGTATCTAATGTTGAAAAATCATCATTCCCCTTTTATCTTTGTTTATCAGTGTCTACTTTTTCCAAGGATTTTGAGGTCCTCCATGAATTTGAATTGCCTTCTTGGATGGTAGATACAGAATTCTATACACTGGGTATAGAATTCTGCAAAGGTACCTGAGACTTAAAGTGAAATACCATAAATAGTTTCCTGTGCCAGATGAGATTCTTGGTTTTACAGGCAGGAGAAGTGAAATACCTCGTGCAGGGTTTTTCCTGTCGGTTTCTCTGAGACGAAATGTATTGCAATGTCCAGTAGGGTTTTTGCAGTAACTTAATTGTCATTTTAATCAGTACAAATCATATTGGAACAGGCCCTGAGGAAAAAAATGAAAAGGTATTACAGAATCTGCAGGTTTCATTCTTCCCTCAAGGTAGCTGTCAGAACATACGGCATTTAATATTGAGTAAATTGTACCTTCAAGGCAGCCTGTACTGACTTCATTTTAATTAGTTACCAACTGGGAAAAATGTTTGAGTTTTATATAAGAATTTTATTTAAAATCTTTTGAGACTTACCTGTTACATACACACGGTTGTTACTAATGCTCCTGATACATGAGGCTAAGAGGTTTCATTGCCTAAATATGACTATATATATATATAATCACTGTCTGAATATCAGTAATCAGCAATCTTAGGCTATTCACTAAAATCTCAGAAACATTTGTACAGCATGTTGCTTATACGCATTTTAAGGTAAGTGAATGAGAAGAAATTTGTTTTTTTCCAGGGGCTTGGTAGTGCATCCATTCTAGAAGTTGGTATATTGAAATTCAAAACAAACTAGTCATTGGTGTCCTTTTAAAAATTAAGAGGAACCACACTCACTTCTGACAGAGTGTACACACGAAAGTGTTGACTGTTCTCCTGAAAGACTGAAGTTCTGCTTTGGGAAGAAACAGCTGTTCATTCAAAGAAAGTGACAGTGCTGATTGCAAGGACTGTAGGATACTTCTCACAATGAGTTCTTGCTTGCTTCCAGTTGTTTTTGACTAAATACTTGGCAGGTCTTTAACCTGGTATGTGGAGGGAGAGAATAAAGGAAGCAGTTGTCATAACTGCCTTTCCAGTGGCTCTTGTCATCTGTCACCTAATTCTTCCATGTTCCTAGGTGGGGGAAGTGCTCAAACAGTTATTAATATGTAATAGGAAAACAGAAGGCACTATTTTTACTTCCTGTCTCAGTATTTCCGTTGTCTGTGGGATAGGTCTCTCTGTTCCTCAGGAAATCAGAATTGGGATGCCTGCAGGGAACAGTAATGGAAGGACGGAAATGGTGGCAGATGACTTCCTTAGGAGACTTTTGCCTCTGCTTTTATCTGTCTTAAAGGACTGGGATATCCTTTGTTCTTCCTAGTATCCTAACTTTGCTAGTGTCAAGTGCTATTTATTCCTGCAACATTTTTACTTCCCTCTCCCTCCCCCCCACTTTCTTGGTTGTCTGTGCTGTACAACTACAAATACTAGACAGCCATGTCTGTTACCGTGGTCAAATACTTGAACTCATGAGGCAGCAGTACTTTTACAAGTGGACAGAAGGAACTGGTCACCTGGACCCTGAAAACAACACTTTCATATTGATAACTCTGTTATCTATCACTCTGCAAATTCTGTTTTATAGCAAGTGTGCAGCACTGATTTTGAAGTCTTGAATTACACAAATAATTAGGCTTTTCATAAGTATGAATGCAACCAAGTAACATTGATTCTCATTTTAAGATACATGTTCCCCTTTTCTGCCAGAGGGACCTGTGCTTCTGAAATAGGCAATCAATGAAGAGATCTCAGCCAGAAAATGCAGATCTGAGATTTTGCTGGCTTTGGGTGTTTTCTGATGTATTTCCGAGTTCCAGTAGGTTCATCTTTCAAAAGTTACGTTATGTATAATTTGAGCATTTATTTTACCAACATGGTTAAAAAAAAATTTAAAAAAAAAAAAAAAAAATTCTGGGATAAAACTGATCATCTCTAATCATTCTTTGCAGCCTTCCTTTGTGGCAGGATTGCCATGAGCTGTGGAGTAAGAAACGCAGAAGACAGAAGCAGATGGGCATGAGTGATGACTCAACAGCAACTAAAGTCCCTAGGAAGGATCTGTCTCTAGGCATGGATGAGAGCAGAACCAACACCCCACAAGGCATGCAAACTTCTTCCCAACTCAAAACTCAGGGCAACTCTAGTGTAGCACTTGGTCAGTAATATTTTCAGTTCTTATAATTACCTTCTACTTGGATTGCACCTCTAGAAATTTTAGATGTTATTTTCAGAGTAGTGACGTCTCCTGGATTCTTGAGAGAGGAACAGTATTGTAAGTTAAATCTTTGTCACAAAAGATTTACCTTTGCTTTTGGAAACTATGTGTTCCTTTTAAGTTTTACTTGATTTTTCAATCTGGTCAGAGCAACTACCTTGCTGTGTATTTTGAGGGCATTTTATCTCTTGCCCATCTATAATTCTTCTGTAATCCCACAAGCCAGCTGCTGCTTTAAGTTCCTCACAGTCTCCATAGATTGGAGGAGCTTTATTGGTATTGATAAACTGATCAGAAGGCAGATTTTAGAACAATCATCATTTCAAATAAAACAGATTCCCTCTGCATGGTGTGTTAGTCTTCAGCTTTCCAAGTTGTTGGGGCTGAACCAAGTTGTAAAAAAAAAAAAACACCAAAAAACTTCCCCCCCCCAAACCTGGTGTAACAAGAAGTAGCTACTTCTGTAGATTGCACAGCCATTAATTCTGAAACTTAGCCAAAGTATCTTGCTTGGGAGACCAATTTTGGTCATTATTATATTATGAATATAATAAAAAGAGTAAAGTAATGGTTTCCTATGTGGACACCATTTGAGATACTCAGCAGTTCAGTGATAGTTCCCTCATAATATGTAGAAATACACAGAGTAACAATACCAAATGGATACTTGATAAGTTTAATTTAGACCATTTTTGATTGTGCAAAGTGGCCATAAATCCTATGGCACTGATACAGGAGTTCAGCTGAAGAAAAACAATAAAGGCATTCACAGGGCCTGAGAATTCTTTAATACTAACCATCTTTAATCAACTCTTCATTTAACAATCAACTCTCTACTCTGTGCAAAGATACATAGAAAATAGTTCTCTTGATCATGCTTTATTGCAATTTATTGCCTCTTGCTCCTGTTCATCCTGTTTCTCACTGTAAGCCAGCTGTGAGTTTCTGCCACTCCGTGTGTTTAGGCTAAAGTTTTGGTAGCATTTTCAAGCATGACTTTCTGTAGCCCTTAAAATTTTTTCCCCACAAATTAAAAATGTGTAGAAGTTTAGAGAGTCCAAAGGATAGTAGTTATTTTCTTTGTGTTTTTATAACAGGTAGCCCAATAAGAGACTACTATATTTATTAGTCATTAATACTAACCAAAATGCAAAATAAAGTAAACAAATAGAGAAGGAATCATTCAGAACTATATTGCTGTTTGCCCATATGTACATAGAAAAATATATCTAGGTAGAAAAGAAGACAATTTAATTTTTAACGGAGGTTAGACTGTTCAGCATAGATGTGTTTTCTGTAATAAACAAAACACTTCTGGAAGCCATAATGCACTTTAGATAATATCATCAATAAGGCACACTAAAGAACTTCATGTACAAATGCATGCTTTAAAGAAAACCGTTGCATTTGTTTCTGAGCACCCCAAAAGAAGAGGTTAAAAACACCTTGGATCAATTGCTAATGTTCTGATTCATGAATGGGACCCCTGGTTATTGCATCTTACAATTTAACAGGAGCTTTGTAGAGGTCAACAATTCTGTTCTGGTAGAAACTGCCAGATTTCCCAGAATACAGTTTGCTCTTGGAAGGTACTTGAAACTAACCAAAGAGTATGGAATAGGTAGACTAGTTTCCCTGTTTGGCAGTTTTCTGCTGAATTTTCACTGAGAGTCTGAGAGAAGTTTGAGCATAACATCCTCAGGTGTTACAAAATCAATTGTTAAGCATGACATCTGAGTGAGAGCCAGCAGTACAAGACATTAGAAATGATGTTTTTTTCTGTATTGCCAAATAAAAGGTGGTTTTATTTTTATATTTATATAAATACATGAAATCGTTGAAGTCCCTGGATCCTGCCTGAGTAGGTTCCAAGTGCTTGTATCCTGGTGCACATCCACAAGTAGGGTAGTGGGTTGTGGGTTTTGCAGCACCTTCCAGCTGTGCTGCTCTTAGTCTTGCAAGGCAAACACTTAATATTTTTGTGTGTGTGACCATTTTTTCAGGCATGGCTTTGAATCTGCTATGAATTAATATATTGGCGAATTAGCAGAATGGCAGGGATAGAAGAGGACAGAATGTGTTCGTGTTGATCTGTGTTAAAAAAATTCAGGGCTCTGCCAGCACAGTCACACACGCTCATTTTTTAATTTTTAAATATTTTCTTCTCTAAGTCATCTACTCATAGGGCATGTTGAAATCCATGGTGCTTCACTTCTCCTTTAAAAATAAACTGCCACAATGGGTGTTTAAAACTAAGAAACTACTTTGATATTCTGACTTCCTTATTCATATTCCCCTGCATCATCATGATTTCCTCTTATTTGTGGCAAACTCCATTTCATTGAAGAAATTGTGTGTCATCACAAACCTGCATTTTCCTGCTACTCAGTGATTGACTTCTTGTCCTTCAAACTCAGCACTTGCTTTTGCATTTATACCACTAGCTTCTGGGTCACCTAGAGCCTGGTCACTTGAGCAGGTGTTAGAATCCAGATGCTGAATTAGAATAGGCCAGAACAGGACTGGAAATGCGTTTTGCAGATGGCCACTTTTTAACAGAGGGATGTGATATGTCAAAGATAGGAAGTTTTGCAGGGATTGGAAATCTTACAGCTGCCTAAAGCAGGTGACTTTAAGCCCCAGCTTAGTTGTATTGTGGAAAATTGAGCTCCAGCTTGATGTTTTTCATCTGTCCAAGTGCATGTGCGCACCCCTTGGAAGTCACTTTCTTTATATTGGATCTTACTATTCCATTTCCTATAGATACTCCCCCAAAGGCAGTTAATATGTGAAAGCATTCCATTTCTATGTTGTCCAAACCCATGCTTTGCCAGTTGTGTCAGCCATGCTAGATTAGTTTTACTTTTGAGTTTCTGAAATATGCCAGTTTTAAATAATACTTAAAAACACCTTTTTTGTCTTTAGCAAAAACAAGCACTGGACAGCAGTTAAACCAGAATGAAGTGGCAATCCTGCTAAACCTGCTACAGTCTAAAACAAGTGTTAGTTTGGCACAGTTTGCCCAAGTGTTGAATATTAAGGTAAACCCAGAGACTCAACAGCAACTAAATAAAATAAATCTTCCTGCTGGAATTTTGTCAGCAGGTGAAAAACAGTCAGAACAGCAGCAGCAGCCGCCGCCACCTCCGCCACCACCACCGGAACAGGAGCCTCTAAAACAGCTGACCGTCACGCAGCCTCCTGTACCACCTGCTCAGCTGAGTCAGCCTAAAGTTGAGACTGATGCTGCCCAGGCAGCTGTACAGAGTGCATTTGCTGTTCTGTTGTCTCAGTTAATAAAGGCTCAGCAAACAAAACAAAAAGATTTTGTGTTGGAGGAGAAGGAAAACGGATCAGGAAATGAAATGTCATTACAACTCAGGCAGCCTCCAGAGCCCACCACTCCTGTGTCTGTCAGCCGGGACGACGTGGAATCTCCAGCACCCGGCTACCCACATCTGATCAAGTCATTATATACGTCTGCAGGTACTGAAGGTCTTTATTGCTAACCAGCAGATACCTTGAGCAGTGAAGACGTAATAGTTTGGGGATAAAGAGTTAGCATGTTAACCATATGAATCTGTGTGAGTATAGGAGAGATGATTAAATTGATTTTGTCACATTTTGCATGTGGATCATAGAATTTGTGTCTTACTGTAACAGGTGCCATGCAGACAGAGCAAAAGATGCACCCCACTGTAAGAGGTGCACAAGTGCCGGTAGTATTTCTGATGAACAGTTACACTGATCATTATTTTTGATAATGGTTTGGGGTTTTCTTAGTGGTGTTTGTGGTGGAGAAGACAGTCTTCTCTGGCAAATTCATAGATGGAATCTGCCAGTTTTGACTGTGAGTTTAGGTAAAGCCTATTTTGGGGAGAGGGTATTTTATTTTTGTTTTTAATGCTGACGAGAGCAATTTCTTAGCGTCAAATTCTGTAAGTGGTTACCCATAACTGTCACTAACATACATGGTTGAAGGTTTCCATTGGGATATAGTAGTGGCTTCCTTAGTCTTCTCAAAGTTTAGAGCTCTGTTGTTGATCTTTTTGGATTGCTATTTCAGTTTTATTATACGGTGGTTTACCTATTGCTCGGTGGTGTTTGCAGCTGTTGAAAGAAATATTCTGAAGTGGTTTGGGGTGTTTTTTGAGGGTTTTTTGGGTGGTGGTTTTTTTGTTCATGGTTTTTTTAACCTTAAGTTTTGTTGTTCCTTGGTAGGGTGGCCTTTTGTCCCTCAAGACTTTTATCCCTATTTGCAAATCTTTTCTGATCCCTCTTCGAATTTTCTAGTGTTTGTGTGTTGCTTGAGTTTTGTTTTGTTTTGTTTGGGGTTTTTGGTTTTTTGGGTTTTTTTAAAGAACTTGTACCGTTTAACTGCTTGCGTGATAATCTTACTTTGAGGAGAAACCTACATCACGCTCCTGAGGCAAATGAGCTGTTGCCTTCTCCAAAATAATCTGTCCAACTACCAATAAATTTAACTAATAAGTTAATGAGAATTGAAGTAACAAACCTCCATATTGTTCCAAGAAAGAGTCCTTTCTTTTCCAGTATTGTTATCATATATTTTTATTCCAAAGCTTTTCTTTTTCATCTGCTTAGGTCAAGAGGATTTGGTTAGGCAGTCCGAGATGAGGCTTCTAAACCGAACACCTGAACAAGAACGCCCTCGGATCTTGCCTCCAGACCAGCGTCCTCCAGAGCCACCGGAGCCTCCGCCTCTCACTGATGAAGACCTTGATTATCGGACAGAGAACCAGCATTTGCCTATAACTAACTCTACAGGAACAGATCCTCACGCAGGAGTGAAAGCAGCTCTTCTGCAGCTGCTTGCTCAGCATCAAGCTCAGGCGACAACAGAGGAGCCAGTACAAACGAGCGTGGATTATCAGGCTAGAGACTCCTATGTAACAGGCCCAGACTACAAGGATAACTTTGGATCATCTTCTTTCTCATCTGCCCACTATGGCAGTAGCGATGGAATAGGAAGCGGATCATCAGGAGCATTAGAAAGGAGGAGCTTCCTTGGAAACTCGGATATTCAGTCTTTGGATAACTACAGTACTGCTTCATCTCACTCTGGTGGTGCCCCTCCTCCGTCGGCCTTTTCAGAATCTTTTCCCAGCTCAGTAACTGGCTATGGAGACATTTACCTCAACACTGGCCCCATGCTATTTAGTGGAGATAAAGACCATAGGTTTGAATACAGCCATGGTCCGATCCCGGTTCTGGGGAGCAGCGGTGACGCTTCCGCAGGGCCAGAGAGTACGCACTCTTTGCCCACAAAGATGCACAACTATAGCTACGGAAGTAACTTACAGGAAAATCCCAGTGGCATCAGCCACATGCATGGACAGACTTGGACTTCTCCTGCCCAAGGACCCGGCTATTCCCAAGGATACAGGGGACACATTAGCACATCTGCAGTGAGAGGGCGAGGCAGAGGATTACCATATTGAGTATCTGTTTTTCCTCAGGCACATCATTTTTATCTGGAAAAACTTTTTTTTTCCCCCTAGCTGCAGTTTAAAGCAGCAATTCAACAGACTTGAATAATGTTAATTCAACAGCTTTATTTTTATGTGGAAAAGGGTCTTGCATACAGTAGGAAAAATTAAAAATGCTTAAAACTCATGCTGTCTGAAAACTAGATAAATTGATTGTACATGTTCACAAACTCTAGTTCTGAATTTTATTTTGTATTTTGGCAGTTTTAAGTGGATGCTAAATTTAGGGACATCAGCTTTTTATGGCACTCTTTCAGATCTTCTGAACTATGCACATTTGTGCTTTTTTTGTAAGTTTGGACCAACTTTTATGTAAAAAAAAATTTTACAACAATCAAAGCAGGGCACTGATTTATTTGGTATTTTTCTTTTTACAGAACTACCTTTAGTCAAAGGTCACTGTCAGTCTTTGCACTGCTTTCAGTGTTATTGTGGAAGGTGTACTTTGTGCTCATTTCAGATAATAAAACACAACCTTTCTCTTGATGCAAAATTTTATAAACATTTGGTCAATGTTGTTTTTTTTTTTTCTTTCAAGAAAAAAAAAAAAGAATGGATGTTCTGGTAAAATGTTCTCTCCATCTCCCAGGCTTGTTTATATAAAAACTGTTTTACTTGAATGGTAAGTGCCTTAACATGTAAGCTTAAGGTCTGCAAAAATTTGGAAGTACTTTATAGATCGATATGAAAATAATACCTAAACTAGGTAGTTAACGTGAAAATTCAGATAATAATAGGCAACTCAAATAGGTCATAACCTTGTGCTGTTTACTTCAGGTGGGCCAGTTATTTAGAGACCTAATCTTATCTTGATGAAATCGTAATTTCCAGATTGAACTTCATGAGAAACGTTGAAAGTGAGGAGAAGAATGAAGAGCATAGTTTTTCCTCAGCTCCCTCTTGGAGTTGTAGTAAGTGTTTTAGTTCCTCTGCCAAATAAACTATACTTTATATGTCCTTACCAAGTGATGAAATAGTTTTTTCTCTTAAATGTCAACAGCAGTAATGACTTGACTTTGTGTGAAAAGCTGACACACGGTCGTCTTTTTACCACAAATACTGCATTATAGGAAGTAACCGAGGGAAAAATGACCAGTATTTAAAGCAACAGCAAAACGTTTGACACTAGTTCTAATTCTCTGTAAACTCGTGATTGTGCCAATTAATCGATTTTATGTCTGCTATTCCACAGAACATTTTAATATTGGAATTGAGTCTCTCTGAACAACTGATAAAATGACTGTAGTTAAAACTCTTACCAAGAGCCACTCCTCATATTAATTACAACTTCCAGCATGTTTTTTTTTCCTTTGACAACAAGTGGTCTCTCTCCTGCAGAGAGGAGGTATGGTTATATTTTGCATGTACGTAAAAGAATGTTTTAAAGCCCATATTGGAAACAATTTTCCAACTGATTATCCAGTTGACAAATCGGTACCTTATGTAACTGAGTGTTTAATTATTACTTTTTAAAAAGTAAAATTTCTACTTACACTATTACAAACGTAGTCTTGTCAGTGACTTTTTGGATTTTCAGAATAGAAGCCAAAGTTGTTGGTGGTTTGTTTTGTTTTAGTTGAAAATCCTGGTTCGTATATGGCTAACTACCACATTGTAGAGCATGGAGAAACTCACTTTGCTAACTACGTACCGTTTGAGGATCTGGCAAATGAGAAATGGAGAGAGAGTCATGCTGCTTATGATGTCCCTGTAAGTCTGGCAGTTGCCTTCACTAGACACAGTAGAAAATCCTGCAATCTGAAAATAAAAGCGGCCTGGTCAGAAACAAATACTGATGACCTGAATAGCTCGTGCTTAAGAAAAACAAAAGCTTCATGTGTGAATGACAGTGCATTGGGTAGTTTTCCTTGAGTAAGGACACCCCCGTAGCATTTTTCTGCTAGTAAAATTTTAAAGGCAAATATCATTAGTGTCATTTAGATAGGGACAGTGTCAGCTAAGGCTTTTTGTTTACTAGTCTTGAAAAACCGATCCCACAGTGATACACACAGATTGCTTTTTTCCAGAATCAAGCAAAAGACTTTCAAAGCTCTTAGGCAGTTGCTTTCACTAAAATTGTGCAGTCTGGTGTTAGTCTCCTGTACTTCAAATGTAACTGCAGGTGATAGTTGGCTAAAAAAGCAGGTAAGTTCAAATGGAAGGTAGATCGCAGAGGACTAAATGATTTGACTTCCAATACAAAAATGCAAGGAAGATGTCGTGTCTCCTACTGCTTCCTTTTTGGAGGTAAATTTTCAAGTCATTTAGTTCACTTCATTTAACGCAGAGAAGTCAGTCCCCTCTGTATGCATAAATGACAGGGCAGTTTCCTTACGGGCTGGCAGTACTCTGATGTTGCATCGTTCCGCCGAAACAGATTTCAGTCTTCGGCCATGAAAAAAAAACAAAACCAGCACAAGTAATCCTGACTGTGAGGAGAGAAAAGGAGATGCAATAGACAGTTGACTTCCAGATGAATCAGAAACAAAACTCTGGCACGCTGTGGCAGATGCATACTGCACAATGGCTTTTCATCAAATTCAGTTTAAGGATTACTAGCCTGTGACTTTGAACACTATATTTGCCTGGGACAACAGTGTTGGGATAATTTGGAGGGAAAGTTAACATATTTCCATATATGATAACTCTGAAGAGATTACCTTCTCTGCAACCTGGGAGATCTTCTCGGCTCTTTCGCTGGCAGCCTTTCCTCCTGGGCAGGTGGAGGCTGTGCATGGGCTGCGTGTGGGTACGGAGCTCTGCCCTCCCTCTGCGGGGCAGCCCTTGGGGTGCGTGGCAGGAGGATTTCTCCCCGCGGCCGCGCTCCCCTGGCCCCAGAGTCGCGTCTGGGCAGGTTAGCAGCCAGGGAACTGGCCGGATCTAAGGACTGTAGGTCCACATTCATTTGTACTGGACCTGTGTTATTATCTATCAAAATTTCTTTTGAATTAAATCACATGACGAGGTGCTTATGTCAGTTCAGAATTTTACCCTTTTGAACAAATTTCACTCAGCAGAGTGGGTCTGTACTAGTTTGGCATTTTACACCATGTGGCTCTTGCATTTTTGATGCAGTAGTAGGCATTCTGGAAACCGCATTATTTTTCTGTGGAGCCGTGGCTTTTGTTACTTCCCCCCCCATTCCTTTGGGTTTACATTTTCTGTGCTGCAATTCCAAAGTGTGCTACAGAGACCTGGACACTACATCGAAAAGTAAGTGTTGTGTGTTTGTATTTCTAAATAAACATAGCAAAATCATGGACTATCAAGTAGCAAGTACTTCATTATTTATATTAAGTGGTCTTTATACCAAGAGGAAGAAAGCGAGCACGACTGGACTGCTAAGACCATGACTTAAAACGCTTACACTATTATAATACTTAAAATCAGCCAAAGGAAAAGGAAACAGCTTTTATCATGGATCGCTAGTTGTTGTTATCTTGAACAGAAGGAGCAGTGTTAGGGAAGAGGTGTAAAAATACATGTATCCTTAAATGTTAATATAATTTCTTGGAAAAATAATATTAAAATGGCAAACTTCTATATTTTCTTATGTTTCCATAAAACATGGTCTATGTTAAATTTTCTCCATACCATATAAGGTGCTTTCTAGAAGCAGAGGCGGTAAGTGCTGTAATGTAAGTAATTATGGTTTTGAGTGCTCTTCTCCTTTTGCTTGGTGCAGGAGGCAGTTTCAGTTTTGGTGAAGTTTACAGTTGGATGAGTTTAATAGATAATTTCGCAGTAAAAACTGAAGTACTGAAGTAACATAGGATACCTCTTGTCTGCAGGCAAATTAGATCTCAGACCATGAATTCTGTTTCCAAGAGAGAAAAATCTCAAAGTGTATTTCTTGCGTTCTTCTTTTCATTAATAAAACGTGTGTTCTACGTACAACATTTCTCCAGTCTATTCTGTTACATTGTTTTTTACATGGGGAAATTTTGGCTGTTTCCCTTCTTGATAGTTTTGGGATGTTCGATGTACACGGAAGTGTGTCATGAAATTAAGGAATCACCAGAAAACTGATTTGAATTCTGTATTTAAACATGAAATGACCTTGGGTTGACTTAAAATCGAACTAACTTTTGCTTATCAGGGTGAAGAATACTTTATTGCAGAAGTTATTTCAAGACAACCTAATTTAAAATAATCAAACTGTTATGCTTCAGCTTGCTTACTCTTTGTTATTTTAAGCCATTTGTATATAAAATGTATTGTGCGGCCTGTAAATAAAATACATGAAAACTTGAAGTCTTTCATTGTTTTCCCTCTCTGCTTGTCAAACAGCATTTCAAAAGAACGCTGGGTTAAACTGAGGTGTTTTTTTAGTATCCAAATGAGTATAATTTTCAGTGTGTTAAAATTCTGCAAGTTATTAAAAAAACCTTACTGCTCCTGTACTTTTCCAAAGGAAAATGGCAGTGGCTGGCCGTACGAGCGCTTGTTGCTAGAGCGGGGCTCCTGGCTCATGCAGGAGCCGAGGTGGAGCGCAGCGTGCCGGTGAGCACGGGTGGTGCAGCGGAAGCGGGCGGCGTGCTGGCGCGCGGTGAGGGGGACCAGGCACCTCCAGAGCGGAGAAGATGCTGCTGTTTCCAGCGCCTGTTGCGTGAGCTTTTCAGGACGGTGGGCTATGTATAACGTGACATTTTTCTCTTGGCGCTGTCCAAGCAGAAGTGCAGTTAATATTCCCCACTACTGTCTCTTTAAAGAGGATGGTGTGTGCGTTAAAAGTAATGGGAAATCAAACCCGAAGAGCCGGGTATTTTCAGTGTCTGGCTGCATGCGTGCGCTGCTGGTGAAGGACTGTAAATCGAGCGTGGCTTCAGCAACTGCGCTTTGAATGCCTGAGGTTTCTCTGCTTTTTTCCTGCTGTATCAGCTAACCTAAGGAAAATGTTTGCATCTTTCAATAAATGCTGTACGTCCATCCAAAAATAAGCCACTTGTCAC